ATTAGTTTCTTTGGCTGTCATATGGTTTTAGCATATAAACCAAAAGGAAATTTAGGCTTCTAAAAAAGTTCTGATTACTATTATTTTTTGTTCTTTAATTTCACTTCGCAATAAGCAAATACAAATCACAAAATTATAAATACTCTTTTAGCAATTTGCTTCCTGCTTATATCTTGCTTGGTCTTGCTAAAAATATTATTATGAGTATCATATTTGAAATAAAAGGTAAACAATACCAATATTTTCCCGCTAAAAAAGACCAAACTTTCCATATCGACTACCAAAAAAACACCAAGAGTGGTGATAAAATAACTTTTGACAAAGTTTTAAGCAAAGATGAAGAGTTTGGTCAACCTTATTTGTCAAATATTAAACTGAACGGGGAAATAATTAAACACGGATTAAAAAAAAAAATAGTAATAATGAAATACAAGCCCAAAAAAAGATACAAAAAAAAAATGGGCTTTCGCCAGCAATATACCGAAGTTAAAATAGTTTCCGTAGCAGATGCTTAATATTAATTTATTATCTAACTGGTTTGCAATCTTCCTTAACTTTTTCTGTTTCCGCTACAACTCCCCCACCTAAACAAATATTGTTCTGATAAAAAACAGCATACTGCCCGGGGGTAATCGCTCTTTGCTGTGCAGAAAATTCTACTTTTAATTCTTTAAAATCTGTCATTGGAAAAATTTTGATTGGGATTTCAGGTTGTCGATAACGAAATTTAGCGGTCATTTTTTGGTTATTAAAATACTCCTTTAATTCTTGTTCTTTAACTAACCAATTAATATTTTTCACTACGCACCACTTACTATATAATCGCTCATTTTCTCAGCCACTTGCCACATAAATTAGATTTTTTTTGCTACTTTTCCCTACTACATAGTGCGGCTTTTTTTGTCCTTGGAGTCCTAAACTTCGCCGCTGACCAATAGTAAAAAAAGGAACTCCTGAGTGTTTACCAAGCACTTTTTTACTATCAATGTCTATTATCTCACCCTCCTTTTTGGGAAAATAATTAGTGAGAAAGTTTGGGAAATTACGCTCACCAATAAAACAAATGCCCGTGGAATCTTTTTTTTGGGCGTTAACTAATCCCGCTTTTTCAGCTATTTGGCGCACTTCTTTTTTAGTTAAATCAGTCAAAGGAAATATTAATTTACCTAATAGATTACGGTCAATTTGACAAAGAAAATAAGTTTGGTCTTTATTGCTATCTTTGGGCTTACTCAAATAGTAGTTATTATTTTGGTAAATGATTTTAGCATAATGACCAGTGGCAATAAAATCTGCCGCTCAACTTTTTTTCACATATTCCACAAAATAATGAAACTTGATAGCACTATTACATAAAATATCGGGGTTGGGAGTAAGTCCTTATTAAAGAGAGTAATCAGAGGATTAAGGAGGGATTGAAAAATTACGAAGCAAATAATGGGAGGCGGAAGACTCCTTAAAAAATTATTAAATTAATGATTAAATCTTTTAGAGATAAATACACTCAAATGCTTTTTGAAAGAAAAAGAGTGTTAAAGTGAAAGCATATTGAGCAGATTGCTCGTCGCAAGTTAAAAGAACTAGACAAAGCCACCAGTTTAGAAGAATTAGCCCGAGTTCCTAGTAATCGTTTACACAAACTTACTCGGGATAGAAAAGGACAGCACAGTTTAACCATCAAAAACCAATATCGGATTTGTTTTTATTGAATGAGAGGTAATGCTTACGAAGTAGAAATAGTAGATTATCACTAAAATTAATTAAATTATCATGGCTAGAATCAAAAATAAAAAATTAGCACCTATTCACCCCGGAGAAATGTTGCGGGAGGAATTTCTTGCTCCCTTGAATATGAAGCCGGAAGAATTAGCCCAAAAAATTAATGTTCCTCCTAAAACGATAAAGGATATTTGCCAAGAAAAAAAAGACTTAACTCCAGAAATAATTTGCCGGTTAGCTGTTTACTTTAAAATGTCTTATGAATTTTGATTGGGTATGCAACAAGATTACGAAAAAGAGTGTTTAGCAGATATTTTAGAAAATCAAGAACAGCAAATTAAAAAAGAAATTCACCCTTTATCTACTTTAAAAGAGATTAATGGTCGTTCAAGAAAACACCTTTAATCAGCCCTTAATTTAGCCTTGTATAAGAATTAACTTTTCTCTTTTAAGCCTTTTTTCAGCAAATACAATTCCCTTTCCCTAAATTATGCCCCAACCCGAAAACAATAAAAAACTAGAAGAATACACTAAAAAACGCGAAGAGTGAAAAGAAAAAACAAAACTTCGCGAAAGATTTGCTGCCTTTATTGCTAGCTTTGCCTTTTTCCCAGCTTGAATAGTAGTTCAATTATTTACTGAGTATAATACTATCTCTTTTTATATAAGTGTAGTTATTTTTACTATTATTCTTGGACTTCCCATTTATTTGTTGATTCTTTGACTCTGACCTGAGCCAAAAAAGCCTACCCTATAATACAAAAACTTTTCCCTTTTGCTATATTAATAACAAATTAAACCGACATACATAATAAAAAAATATGACAAAACCTAAAAAATATTCCTATAAAGATTATGCTCCAGACGAAGAATTCGAACCCGAAATACCGCTTGGACCTAGTGTTCGAGTAGGAACAAAGTTTAAACTACCCACAATAGGAGGTCAACAAGTCCTTGGGGTAATGGAAGAAGGCTTAAAATGAGCCTCTGCTACCCCCGTCATTGGAAATCTTTTTAAAATTGGCTCTCATGCTATCGACCGATTAAAAGACGCTCATATTGATGCTCAATTTAGTGCTATTGCCACTGAATTAGGGGACTTAAAAGATGGTATCGATGGAGTTAATGTCAAAGTTGAAGCCCAAGGCAAAGCCTTAAAAGGAGCTATGGACGGCATGAAAACCGAGTTAGAAGGTCATTTAAAACAACAAGGTCAAAAATTCGATAAAGAAATTAAAAACCTCGATGCCAAAATAGCTACCGCCCAAGGAGAAAATCTTCGCAAGTTCGAGGAACAAAAAAAGGCAATGGCTGCCCAAAAACAAGAACTAGAAAGCCAAATCCAAGAAGTCACCCAAAACTTAAACCGAGTTGAAAGCCAACTCACTAATGCCCTCAACGACTTCAAATCCGAAGTCAACGAACGCTTTGAAGCCCAAGAACAAAAAATCCTGGCTAACAAACGCAAAATTGAAGAGCTTATTTACAAAATGCCGAAAATATGGGGGGAGTAACTAAACGAGCTGAAAAAATCCAAGAAATTAAAAAATATTAATTTATGACTTTTCTCGCTGAGGGTAATCATGCCGTTCGTAATTTGCTTCATTCGCCTTATTTTACTTTTAAAAAAATACTGTTGCGGGAGGAGCACCGTCAAGATAAAGAATTATTACAATTATTAGAAAAAAAACAAATAACTTATCAATTATTAGACAAAGAGCAGTTTGCTCGTTATGGTTTTGCGAAAAAAAATCAAGGAATAGTGGCTTTTATTCGTAATTACGATTATGTTTCGCTTAATTACTTATTAAATCGCCAACCCTCGCGAAAATACCCATTAATTATAATGCTGGATAGTATTGAGGATCCTCATAATTTTGGAGCCATTTTGCGAACGAGTGCGGCTTTGGCTATTGACGGCGTAATTATTAGCAAAAAAAACCAAGTGCCAGTTAATAGCACAGTAGTTAGAGTTTCCGTGGGCGGGGCGGCTTATGTTCCTATTTGCCAAGTAGATAATTTAGCCGTGGCTATTAACGAACTGAGAAAGAGCAATTATAAAATTATTTCCACTATTTGTGAGCCCGGAGCTGCTGAATATAATAAATTTAATTTTGACTTTTCTACCGCCTTAATTTTTGGCAACGAACATGAGGGAATTAAGCCCAGTTTAATCAAAAAAAGCGATTATTCTCTTTATATTCCCATGAATAATAATATAAGTTCGCTTAATGTCTCGGTCAGTTGTGGAATTATTTGTGTCCAGGTGGTTTCCCAGTGAGAAAATTACTTTCCGCAGGGATAAATGGCTTTCAGCAAAATTGCTTTATATGGTATTTTTACTTTTTCTGCCCCCTTTTTCTTTTTAATTTAGTGAGCTTTATTTCTTTATCATTTGCTTCTTTTGTTTCCAACCTTTGCTCTACTTCGACTGATTTCGGTTTTTCTTCTTCTTCCTCGACAAAAGACTGTTTAAACTCCTTTTTAATCATTTCCAAAGTCTCTAATTTTTTGTGGTCGCTGGCGGTCTTTTGTTCTTTATTTTTTATTTCCTCCTCTAAGACTACTATCTTTTGTAAAAATGTCAATTTCACCTTTAATAATGCTCCAATTAGGGCAGGTATTGAAATGGCTATAACTATCAAAACTCATTGTAATACACTATTCCGTATGTTTATATATACATTTCCAATAGAAAACTATATACTAAAATAATAAACATATATGGTTTATATCGTCAATAAAGAAATACCTGACAATAAAAATATTCGGGCTGGTCTCACTAACATTTATGGTATTGGCTGGTCTACCGCCGAGGCAATAATTAGTAAACTCCACATTGCTAGTAGAAAGAGAATCCATGATTTGTCAGAAACCGAGTTAAAAAATATTAATCAAGAAATTAAGAACTTTACGACCGAGGAGAAGTTAAGAGAAGAAAAACAAAAAAATATCAGTGAGCAAATTCGTCTGGGTACTTATCGAGGTTTAAGACTCTCCCGCAAGCCTAATCCTTTACCAGTAAACGGGCAAAGAACAAGGCATAATTCCCGCACTGCCAAAGGTCATAAGCGAATAACCGTTGCCAATAAGAAAAAGGCTCCCACCGCAAAATAATTTTATGAAAAGTCTTTGTAGAAGAATGCTCTTTTCGACTTCTTAGGGGTCTCTTAATAGTTATTATCAAGCAATTTTGTACTTTCCCCACAGTTTTTTTTTATCACAAGCGGGTTTTAGCAAACTTTTAATTGGTTCATAAGTTTTACGGTGCAAATCACAAATCCCATAACGAAAAAGAGCCGTTAAGTGAGATTTATTGGGATAACCCTTATTTTTCAATCAATTATAAAGAGGATATTTTTTATGGAGTTTTTCCATAAGCGCGTCCCGGATTACTTTGGCAACAATAGAAGCGGCGGCAATATTAATCGAACGGCGGTCTCCGCCAATAATGCTTATTGTTTTAATTCCGGCTATTATTATTTCTTCTTTACCGTCTACCAGCACTAAATCGGACTTATTTTTTAGACTTAGAATAACCTCTGCCATGGCTTCTTTGGTGGCTCCGAGCGGATTTTTGGCTTCCACTTCCCGGACACTTTTGGCAATTACATTATACTCTACGGCCACTTTTCTCACTATTCGGAAAACTCTTTTTCGTTGGTTGGGACTAAGTATTTTGGAATCTTGAATGAGGGGATTTTGAAAACCAACTGGCAAAATAACGGCTGCTACTATTATTGGTCCAGCCAGTGCTCCCCGTCCTGCTTCGTCAACTCCCGTAATTATAGGATATTTTCCCCATAACTTCAATTCTAAGTCTAGACTTCTTTTCACCATAAAAAGGTTTTTTATCTCTTTTTTTCTTAAAATATGGCTACTTTGTTTCAGTCTAGTTGATTTTTTGCTGAATTATTATTTTTTTCCTCATCATTTTTTCATTTTCCTGAGTCAAATTGAAAAAGTGCTGGGTTAACTCTCAGACTAGAATAACGGTTAAATCCTTCTTCCACAG